AAGCTGTGGTAATTCCGTCACATACAGTACCATCCTCTTAATTAGTCACTACTCGACTATTATTTAAACAAAATCCTTTCAGTGCTATGCAAATTTCCTGGCTGTAAGATACTAAGGTGACTTTAATGGTATTATGATACGGTCGTTATCTCTAAGTCGTCTGGATTGGTACGACAGGCTATGGATGCGAAAACCTTAACTGTTATTGTCAAGCTGATGTGATGTTGATACCACATTTTCATTAGACCTCCGAATGCTGCTGTTATCATTGCAAATTTTCTTCTGGCATTTTGCCTTTCCTGCAGCGAGATAATATCCATCGTCGAAGCTGTCTTGATTCTTTCTGCGATAGTTCATAACACCATCGTTACATGGCAGAACATAACCAAAAAGAAAAGTGTACTTCAGAATGCTTTTAGACCTTCTCACGATGTGCTTTCAGCAATTTATTCTGAGCACGTAATCCTACTGCAGTTGCAAGTTCTCCAGCGTTCTCTCCATTATTCAAGAGACCACCACTGTGGTTTTTACATTGGTATCTGTGAGCGTCCATTTCACTTCAGAGTAGTCGCGATTGCCAGATAAAATCTCTCAACCAGGTAGAGATGCATCGTTTCATTATCCGTGATCGGTTTTACCGGCAGAAACCATTTCCCAAATACGGCACTCGCTTAATGCTACCAGAGTGTGCAGTTTCCCGAGAATTATGAGGCGGTCTTATGATGTAACGTGCGGTAATTTTTCTAGCCTCTCATGGAATACATTCACTTCTTGCTTATCTGTAGAGTCCGTAAGAGCATGTGACCGGTTATGGTCCATTTTTTTCTGAAATATTGAAAAACCTTTGTCCAGCACAACCTGAAGCTAATTTGCCCCCATTTTTACAGCTCCTGCATAGTTTGAATACACCGCGTATCCCTTCTGCATTTAATCCGAGTAGTAAATGGGTTGTCTGGCCATCTAGAAAACATAGTTTTGTGATTTCATCGTTTTTGAGCGCTTCTCTTCCAAATATAGTATCGGCGGATTAAGATTTTCAGAGTTCTTGAGACAAGGCTCCTCCATTTCTCTTGTCAGGAACTGATAGCTTCCGGCAACCAAATGCAGCATTCTCGGTATTTGAAGCTGTATTTGCACCTTGACACATGCAGCGAATGGTCAGGATGCAGCTAGCTATCTTGATTCTTTTCTAACATACGGTCTTTTGCGTTACGCTTTGATACATAGGATCACAGGCGAATATACTACCTGGAAACGACCAGCGTTAATCAGTGAACCTCCGTTGAGTTCGCCAAGGTGTTACTTTGAAGGTCGTCTACTTTCAAAAACCCGTTGTTAGAATATTCGATAGCTTAAGTTTCAGTGTATTAAGACTATTAGCATTGTTGCCAAAAACGACATGCTTTATAACCACAAGCTAATATGC